TAATGTTTCGGCTTGGAATGGCTCTGCTTGCTCAATGACTCGGCGATAGACCTCAATTTGCTCGCAATACATCTGGGGTCTCACTCGCCCATACAAGGTATTCAGCGGCGGCTTGCAATGGTTGCAGAATAGGTAGTTGTCGCTTTGAAATGAGATTCGTGCTGCAGATCGTACATAATGTACTGGCACCTTCCCATGCACTACGTCGCACATGCGTACAAATCGATGTGCATACTGGTGCAAGTATTTATACCATGCTCTACAAACTCTTTGGAGGTTCTTGCGTATGGCCTCTGCTTTGTTATAGTAATGACGGTCAAAGCAATGGCGATTATAAATGACCCAAGACGGATACCGATCTACCCAATGATCTGGATCAAAAACTTCGGGTGCTGAGATGGCATATTGCAGGATAGATTGCCATATTTCGACGGGTAGCATCAAAAAGGGTCCTCCGTCAATGGGCGTGATATGAGGTGGTTATGGCAGGAAGTCAACTTGTCAATTAAGTGTGATGCGGTCTCTGCTGGCACCACTCATGCTCCTCAGGGCCTTAGAAAAGTTATTGACGTTGTACTTTAGTTTTGTTTATGTCCAATTGCCTGCGGTGGAGTCTTGAACCAACCGTCACTGTAGAGAAACTAATAAAGTCTATATAATACCGAGAATCAATCTCCTCGGGTTCTTACGATGATATTCAGTCTATATTGTAGCCTAGCAGACAAGAGCAGACAAGATCGAGTCTATAATTGATCATTCCGAAATAGGATATACATCATACACTCTGTGAATAATCTAGCCATACAACAATATCTTACTTTACCAAGCAACCAATCAGAGAAGGTGCAAGGACATATTCCTGAGATACTGCCGCACGCTCCATTAGTGTGAAGGTGGAGTGATGACGGTCTCGCCGAGTCCACAGACGGTAAATGCATCATCGGCTAATCCTGCCTTTTTGGCTTCCTCAGCCAAGAGTTTGGGTGGTTCGAGTACAGGCTCCATAGTCAAGACCCATGTCCTATTGTAGGGAACAAAGTCAACCGAAGGACCATTAG